AGTGACCATACTAATAACAGACCATAGTGCTAGGGAGAAAGCAGGGAAGAGGAAAAGGGACAAGAAATCCAAGAATTCAATATAATTATTATGATTGGGTAGCGAAACACTCCGTCTCTCCCAGTCTCTCTCAAAGACCTCCTTCTGCAGCCTCACCTGAAAGGGTAGCTTTTCCAGCTCATACATCTCTATGACAATAACAATTCGGTTGTCTTTGCTTGCGGGGGTTTTCCCCATCGTGTCAGTTAGCGTGCTGAGATGACCTAAGTAAGTAAAAGCCCACCGCCGTATCCCGCACAGCGCTCTCACCTACGGCGAGCTGGAGGAAGAGCCGGTCCTGCGGGCAGAGCTCTCTGCTCAGGGTCACCCTGACTGTAAACGCCTGGCCGCGCCTCACGATCAGCCCGGAGTTCACGTACTCGGAGGTGTGATGGAGTGAGGCGTTGTGCTTTTCCAGGAAATCAATGCGGGAAACCTTCAAATCTGAAAAAAAAAATATATATATTAATGACCTTTTAGCCTTCGGAATGATCGATTGATGCCTATAAATGAATTTCCTTTGAGTGGGACTTTGTCGGCAGAAACAATAAAACACAATAAATACTATTGGCACCAATAGATGTATTGCGTTTTGCTGCCTCTATAAAATTCCCTGCACCGCCTTAAAAAAGAATCTCACGCACATTGTGAAGACGTGGTGTTCACAATTGACCGAAAACAAAAACAGTCGGCACCCATCTACAAAAAGTGCGTTAAATGTATCAACACAATAAACAAGTCATTATTCAGATTTTCTGTAGCTTTCAGACGTTTAAAGTTGAGAGCTTTAGTTTTTTCTAAGCCTTTGGTTCGGTGTAGGACTTTATGAGCTAAAAATAAGTTTTGTAAAGATGTTCAATCTCCAGACAAAGCAACATTTTTACCAATGAATGTGTAATTTTTTTTAAAGTAAAGGTTTAGCAAAGATTATTGTTACGTGAAATGCGACTTCAAAATTGCGCCCTTAAAATGCAAATATTCATCCGCCCTTTGTTCCTGAGGAAAAGTTAACCAATATTATCAAACCCTAGAAGTATCGCTGGCAGTAATGATATTAGAAGTAGTTATAGTGTTTGTATCAAAAGCAGCAGAATTATTTGCACATACACGATGTTTTTACAAAAATTAAAAACGCTACTGAAATATGAGGTTTCGGGCGTCCTCAAACATCCAGACCATCGGACATCATTTTCAACACGATTTTGTCTTCTTAATCTATTTTTATTTTTTTTGTGCAAAAAAGCTTACCAGATTTGCCCATTGTTATATATATATATTTTTAACAAAACAACAACTTACCTGATTTGCTCATGATTCTTCGCTTAGGAACCGTTTTAGTTGAAATGGCATCGACCGTCAGACCTGACACTCAACTCTGTGACAAACCTCCTTTATAGCTTTCTTTTTGGCCATGTGCCAAAGGAGTGGAA